AATCATACTTTGTGGACCGAATGGACCTGAATACCCGGGTGCCTGGCCTGACTGGTCATGAACGGGATGGATCGAACCCTATAAACGGGTCTGTGAATGTAATAATCAATCTGGGCTATATAAAACCTATTACTAACTGTATAATATCAATATCTGGACGGGGTTATGGGTTATTACAAAATATATTTATATGGATGGGAATCAATTCTATTGGGTAATTGAATGTAACAATGGCTATGTCTTGCTCTGCTCCAACTCCATGCATATCCGGCGTAACCAACAAAACGACGTGAATAACTGGTTGTGCTGGCCCTGAACCCCCTCGGTGGCCTGTCCAAAAAACCGAATAACCTGACTGTCGGCCCCATGGCTCGCCAACCGCTGTTGCCATAATGGTTGCACCCGCTCGGCCCACGGTCCATACAACATCATCGCCACCATGGGTAATAATACATCCCGGTACGCACAATCTCTTCTGCCGGTCCGCCATCCCTGGCATATGGACTGGGGCATATAACACCAAAAACATGCGCTGAATTCGGCAAACTGGAACCCAACCTTTCGGATGCTCCGCATCCATTCTTTGGCAATGGCACTCCGGGGTCCCCGACAAAATATCAACTCATACTCGTGCCGTTCCCGGCCGGCCGTGATACATATATAACATCGCCACATCCATTGCCCGGCCTCTCCTTCGATAAACTCCTTGTTCAACCGTTGCTGGGAATCATGCTCCCGCTGTTGGATCTGCACGTGCTGTCGCTGCCATTCCCTGATGCCAACTGGTGCCATGCCATCCGGCGATCTCTCATCCTGGCGGGATAACGGCTGGGGACGGGACGTGTGATCTACACCGTCCATGGCCCTGGGGACGGTCTCGCGATGGGCCCTGGGGGGAACGGTGGACGGCGGGACGATTCGCGGTGACGGGGCATCGCTGGGGGGGCGCTGGAACTGGTCTCATCATCCCCCTCGATCACCTGGGGGGGAAACCCTGGATTCTTGCGCCGCCCAATCGGGATCACATCCTTCACACGGGATCTCATCAACATCGGTATCCCGGCACTGCTGTCAACAATATCCATCCACCGTTTCATCCAAATATTTATCCAATACATACCGCCGGCATCCCACGCCCGCCACCTCGTCCATATTCCTGGACCAACTCATAATGGGCGGCATCCTCGGGCTCGGGGGGGCGTCATCCTGGCGGGTTGGATGATAATGGCCTCGCTGCGGTGGCCATCGCGGCCGGCTCGTCCACTCTCCTGCGCGTAATCCAACAATGTCCGTGGCATTCCAATATGGATGATACTGCGGATATCGGGGATGTCCACCCCCATCCCTAATGCGCTGGTGGCTGCAATTACCGTGGTCTCTCCCTGCGTGAACCGGTGCAATATGGATGGCTTATCGATCTGCTGGCTGTAATATGCCTCTCATCCCAACACCCGGGCAATGCCCATGACGTGGCCCACTGCATGGCCATATATGATCACATTTCCGCCACCGGCCTGCTGGATCCGTCCCCGGATGAATGTCACAACCGATTCGGTCTCAAACCACGCGGCTGCCTACCGGGGGACTGGGGGCTGCCACACCCGATACGCCACGTTCGGACGGCTGGTCCGCGCCCGGAACATGCTCACCTGCTCGCGGGCATGACCTATCCGATGGAACAATGGGGTCTCTAACCCGGGGGGGGGGG